CAAAGGACTGAATTAATGCCACTCTATTTCTCCATTACTTTTAGTTCAAATATAATACTGACTTCAGCATGTTGACTTAGTTCCTCATTGAGGGGGAAAAAAAAAAAAAACAAACCAAACCAAAACAAAAAAACCAAATCAATTGGTTTTTTATGTGGTCTCAATCCCCAGAAGAATAGATTTCAAACAGACTAATCAAAGTTAATTCTGGATGAGGAAACCAAAGGAGCATGCTGAACAGTAGATGGATGTGTACAGCACAGTATGTACTAGATTAGTTCAGGAAGACAGGGCTATGTCCAATCCACTGCCTAGAGAAACCTCATCCAGCCTCTAAACAGTCTTTATTTCCTGGGAGCCTATTAACACCTACCAAGCATGAGTTCCAACGCAGGCCAATAGTTAGGAGTTAGTGAGTGTCAGAAAGCCACCGCTGAGAACGAACAAAATACAGTGAGAGGAATTTGAATCAGTCTAAGAGCAGGTTTTTGAAATGACGATGAGTAGCAAGGTGACCACCTACCTTACCAGGTTTCTGTAAGTCTTATAGCCTTATTCTTTGCTTTATCACAAATCACTGATTTCCAAAAGCACAACTATATTTGATTAACCCTCCATAGTTCATCCTGCTCTTACTTTTGTCTCTCAGTAGAACAAGCAGACTTTCACGAGGGCAGGTTTCTCACATCTATCTTTATTCATCTCTGTGTGGTCATAGGCTGCCATTTAGGCACACAAGATCCAACCGGGTCTCACTTACATATATGAAAATCCAAACATTGTCTTCATTGGCTTCAGTAGCATAAAAGCTGAAATGATACATGCGCATCTAGGGCTCACTCTGTCGACATGCACTAGTGACTGAGTCATTTCAGTACTACAGTACAAATACAGTGCGAAAGAAATCACAATTCAAAGACATTTTTGCTGCCCATTTATTTTTAATTTTCCCATATCTTTTACAAGTGCCACTTCCTCATTAGAACTGCCAAATAATTGCTCAGACATCCACTTATCTAATTCCTTACTTTATGAAACTTTTGTATTACTTTGAGCGAAGTTTTATCTCTGTTGAAAAAGCTTTTAAACTGAAGCTCAAATTATTAGCTGAAAGTTTATTTCAAGTTGCAGCTCATACAAATTTAAGACATATTTGCTTGTAAAACTCAGTAGGACAGATAGCTCAGTCTGCCTTCCTAACCACCCCAATAAGGGAATTGAATATCATGGGTTTTACATCTCCTTTTTCTGACAGTTAGCTCTTGAATCCCCAAAATTCATGTGGTTTTGCATTTTCTATTTACTACATTCTGAACAGTGTGATCAAACTTCCCAGCTTCCAGCCTAATGTCTGTCACATTAAAGGTTAGACTTTAAATTCCTGAACCTCTTCCTCTAAGTTCTTAAACAGTGTTATGAAACTTTCAAATATGAAGAGCCAACCACAAATACTAGGAATTTGCTTCAGTAGTTTGCCAGCTGTCATGTTTCTAATGTGCATTTTGCTTCCTGTTTGAACTTTACTAGCTCCAAATTCCCTTCATTTAATCTTCCTGAGGCTTTGCAAACTTTTTTTAAAGAGCTCTCCTTATCAGATTAGTTGTCTACTTAGGAGAACTTACAGGGCATCAGATGCCTACATCATTTTGTTCTATATGTTACGCTGTAATTGTTCAGGTGATTCCAGCTTCTACGTTTCAGTTGTATTAGAGTCCATTAACTAGCACATTTCAGTTTCAACATTACATCTTTTCTCAATTAGACACACTCACACCAAGGTATTCGTTAATTAAACAAACAAAAACTTCAGAGAAAATTGCTTACAAAATAGATTAAATTAGATCATAATCTCCAGAGGGTTTTTCTTTCCTATCTGAGCCAAACATATTCACTTAGAATCCTTCATAATCTGGCCCATGTCCCTAAAATACCCAACAGATAGAAAAGAGGAGCAACTCTGGCTGTACTGAAAAAGTAACTGGAATCAGAATATTCCTTATCACTTCCCAAAGGCAAAGGCTGTTCTATTTCAATGAGTGGACCATTATAATACCAAGTTATGCAGTGAAAGTTATTTTTGGTACATGTTCCTTCACAGTCTAGCTTTGTCATTATAATAATATGATCATGGCAGTAATAACCAGAACATGTCAGTCAGACTGTGACCTTCCCAAGTCCTAGGGACATTGCATTTCTGGATCCAGATGGGGCACAGAAGGGTGACATAAGACAGCTGCTCAGACAAGTGATGTTCACAGGGACAACATCAGACCCCTCCCCTTAGAAATCAGAAGTGTAATGATGAAGAAGTTCAGGCAACTCCAAAATTTGGTACTAGCCATGGAATCAGGCTGTGTTTCTCAGTACCACAGCACCCTTCAAGACCTGTCATTTATTCACCTCTTCTACCAGATCTTTTATGGCATTACAACGGGAAAACATGGCTATCTCATGCAAGCTGGTAATGTTGCCACACAGCATAAAAGGAATATATTATTTTGGACTGAAAGCAACTACTGAAGTAACTGGCTATGAGCGCATTTGCATTCTGTTTCACCTTAAATGAGAACAGCTAATTCTGTGGGTAAGGTTATGCCACTGTTGTTTGTTTTATATAAGCACAGGCACTTAGCACAACACAAAATAATAGTAATTATAAAAATAATAAAGAACAGCTAAGAGACCAGAGCAACAGCCCTTGCTTTGAAGAACATGTGATCCAAAATCTAGGCACCAGGCTAGGCTCACAGAAGAGAGCTACTGTTTATATAGCTATTATCTTTACATTCCTGTTACCTTAACCTGAGTGTTGCAGAAAATCAGAAGGCTGGAAGAGACCCCTGGAGGCCATCTGGTCCAGTCCTGCTTAAGCAGGGCCACCTGGAGGACAGTGCTCAGGACCACACTCAGAAAGATGATTTGATAAGTATGAAATATAAGGAGACCGGTATGAAATATAAGGAGACTATCGTGGGCAGGAATGAGGTTGGGAAAACATATTCTCCAAAACACATCAGAGACTTTTCTCAGGATCATGTAGAGCATATCAGACTAGAGCTATACTGAACTACCTACTCCTACCCTCTGTTAGGTAGGTTGAGCTAAAGAAAAAGGTATTACAGCAGCCCTAACTTTAGTTTTATTGTCATTTCATAGACTGATGGAACAAACAGCTCAGAAGGGATCTCAAAGATCATCTAACTCCAACCCCCTACATAAAGGGGTGGAAAGCACAACGACAGCAGACCAGCAAGATCCCAGGCCACAGCAAGTGAGGATTCGCTCAAACGCAACAGATGTGGGTACAAAAATAAGGGAAAGAAGCTGCTTACCTTTGGAAGGCCTCCAGTAGGCATGGATCTCCAGTGAGATACCTTTCCCTCCACTGCCAAGCCTTAAGTGAAGTCTGGGAAGGACTGGATCCTGGCTCTACCCCTTCCAGTCACTCAGGTGCACTGCATGCAGCTGAGCTCCCCAGGGTTGGTCCTGCCTTCCCACCAGGTGCTCAATCACTGATTCAAGCTGTGACAGCATTTCCACTGCACCTTGCCATGGGTCAGGTTGCCAACTGCAACATCACACAGCAGCTCAGGCTGCACAGGGGCCCCATCCAACCTGGCCTTGAACACCTCAGGGATGAGGTACCCACAACTTCTCTGGCAGCCTGTGCTGGTGCCTCACCATCCTTTCTGTGAAAAACTTCCCCCTGACATCCAATCTCAATCTCCCCATTTTTAGCTTAAATCTGTTCCCAATAAGGTTTCCCTGAAACCTTCTCTTCTCCAAGCTGAACAAGCCCAACTCCCTCAACCATTCTTCATAGCAGAGGTGCTCCATCCCCTCGAGCATCTTCACTGCCTCCTCTGGACCTGTTCCAACAGCTCTGCATCCTCCTTGTGCCGGGGGTCCTGGATGCAGCAGGCCAGATGGAGCCTAATGAAGGCAGAGAAAACTCTGCGCCTGAAAGTCCAAACTATGGGAATACCACTGGAAAATTTCCTCGGTGCTTTCTTTCCCATGCTGTCTAGATCTCTCTGCTTTCACAACCAAGTTGTAACACCTTCCTGCCACCACCCTCCCACGCCCGCACTCTGTGAAGCCCGGCGTTACCCACGGGCTCCTCGTGGATCGCGGCCCATCCCGAGCCACCCGCTCACATTTCACACAGATGTTAAGTTTCTGCCTAACGCCGCGCTCCCTCAAATACGTCGTACGGCCACCGCCTTCGGCGCTCCCTTCAGCGCGGCGCCGCCGGACAACGTCGCCCCCTTGCGGGCGCAGGGCTCGCCGCAGGCAGCAGCCGCGGCGCCGCCGGGAGCCGGACCGGAGCTCTTCGTGGTACCGCCAACTTTTGTCCCTGCGCCGCGGCCGCCTCCGCGAAAAGAAGAAACCCCCGACGGGGTCAGGGCGGCGGGGAGAGGCGAGGAATCGCTCTGCAGCCGCGGCCGCTCAGCGCGGGGCAACGCAACGGGGCTCTCCGTGCTGCTTCCCCCCCGTTAGGGTGTTCCGCCGAGACGGGCGCGGCGGCTTCACCTGGCGGCACTGAGCATGCGCGCGGCGGCGGGGCACGCCACCGATTGGGAGCGCGATGCAAGAGTAGGACGGAGCCGGCGGGCAGCCGCGACTTCGCGCTGCCGCGCCGCTGGAGCGGGGCCGCTGGGCGCCGCCGCTCCCCGTGGGATTTGATGCTGCCGCTTTGGACGCCGCTTCCCGCGAGGATCCAGCACCAGCCGGCGATTCCCCTCGGCTGAGCGGCTGCGCGGAGCTGCCGGGCATGACCGGGCGGGCGGCGGGAGAGAGCCGTGCCCCGCTGTCCCCTCGCCGGGGACCGGGCGGAGGCAGCGCGGCGGTGCTCTGAGGGTCGGGGGGAGGCGCACGGCGCAGCCTTCGGAGCCGTCGGCTGGGGGCGATGAGGGGGGCGGCCGGGCGGCATCGGGGCGGTGGGGCGGGGCGGGGGCTCCGCGGGGCTCTGTAGGACGGCGGCGGCCCGCACACCCGCCATGGATCTGCTGCTGCTGCTGGGGAACACCAGCCTGGGCTCCCCCAACGGGTCCCTGGCGCTGCTGCCCCCCTCGTCGCCGTCCTCCGCCGCCCTCCTGCAGCCTCCTTCCCCCTACTCGCCTGCTGCCGTGGCCAGCCTGGCGGCCCTGGTGGGTTTCATCATCGTCTTCACTATCGTGGGCAACGTGCTGGTGGTGATCGCTGTGCTCACCAGCCGGGCGCTGAGAGCCCCCCAGAACCTCTTCCTGGTGTCGTTGGCCAGCGCAGACATCCTGGTGGCTACTCTGGTCATGCCTTTCTCCTTGGCCAACGAGCTGATGAACTACTGGTACTTTGGCAAAGTGTGGTGCAACATCTACCTGGCACTAGATGTGCTCTTCTGCACCTCCTCCATTGTCCACCTGTGCGCCATCAGCCTTGACAGGTATTGGTCGGTCACGCAGGCGGTGGAGTATAACCTCAAGCGGACACCTCGGCGGATCAAGGCCACCATTGTCACCGTCTGGCTCATTTCTGCTGTCATCTCCTTTCCGCCGTTGATTTCCATGTACCGGGACCCTGAAGGAGATGTCTTTCCCCAGTGCAAGCTCAATGATGAGACATGGTACATTCTTTCTTCTTGCATTGTCTCTTTCTTTGCACCCTGCCTCATCATGGTGTTGGTCTATATCCGTATCTACCGTGTGGCCAAGCTAAGGACCAGGACCCTCTCTGAGAAGCGTACGATGCCAGAGGGGTCCTCCCAGACTGAGAATGGCTTAAGCCGCGCTGCTGGGGGCTGCACGTCCCTGAGGATGCAGTTGGGAGAGAACGGACATTATTCAGTGCACCACTGGCGCAAAGCCTCTGAGCTGGAGGACATTGAGCTGGAGGAGAGCAGCACCTCAGAAAGCAGACGGAGGCGGAGCCGGGAGGAGCATCCTCGCAAAAGCAGCAAGAGCCAGTCCTTCTCCTACTCATATTCCTCCAAGCACTCCAGTAGCCGTCTTTCCCGCTCCAGCAATCGCTCCGTGGAATTCTTCTCATATCGCCGTCGTCGGAAGCGTAGCAGTATCTGCCGTAAGAAGGTCACCCAGGCCCGGGAGAAACGCTTTACCTTTGTGCTGGCCGTGGTCATGGGGGTCTTTGTAGTTTGCTGGTTTCCTTTTTTCTTCAGCTACAGCCTCTATGGCATTTGCCGGGAGGCATGTGAGGTCCCTGAGACTCTCTTCAAGTTCTTCTTCTGGATTGGGTATTGCAATAGCTCCCTCAACCCAGTCATCTACACCATCTTCAACCAGGACTTTCGCAGGTCCTTTAAACACATTCTGTTTAAGAAGAAGAAGAAGAACTTTAGGCATTGAGCTGGAGGGATAAGAGGGGTGAATTTGCCTTGAGCAGAAGTGGAGTTAAAAGGGAAGGAAAAGGCTCTGTGCTGAAAAAGAAGGGAGGGAAGAGAACATGGGGGTTGGGGCATAGAGAGAGGAAAGAGGGCTCGCCCCCCTTGGTCATGCAGAGTGTGGTGGGATGTGGGGATGGTATCAGGGAGGCTGAGCATGTTCACTGCGGTGCAGAATGGCAACATGGTGCTGAAGGAGCTGTTTTGGGGTATGGATGAGTAAACAGGAAAGGGAGGAATTGTCTTTGAACCCTGATGGAGGACACAGGGAGTCCACAGAGGAAATTGGGTAAGACACTGAAATGGAGAGGCCCAGAGCTTATAGAGGCTCTGCATTTTGTGGGAAAACAAACAGAGACAGCAAGAAGAAAAGATTAAGTGGCAGTTGTGGTGGAATAATGGATCTGAGTATTAACAGGGCAGCTATGGCCATGGATGGGCTTGTCCCAGTAAGAAAGTGGCTATTACTGCTTATTTGGGGAAAAGTGCTAGGCACCAGGCACTGGCAGTCTTCTAGATTATGAAAGGATTTAAATGTTTGCCAAAAAAAAAAAACAAACCAAAAACAAACAAAAAAAACCACCCTAGAGAACAATCCAAACTCTTTTCTAAATAAACCTTTGTACTGTTAAAACCTTCTGAATGATGATTTTACACAGGGCTTAAGTCAAGCATGGGGTATTCTTTTTCTTTAGAGGGATTTTTCGCACATAGAGCTGGTTGGGAAGTGTTTTTCCTATCTTCCTGTAAAATTTGTCAGTGGGACAAATCTGGGAGTTTTGCATGTTTTCATGAAATATGATAAAGAGCACATACACACAATGACCTTATTTCCCCCGTTGGAGATCCAGGCAGTAAATTCCTACTCCATCGCTCTCAGATCAGTGGCCTAAAAATCTTGCCATCCTGGAGCAGGTGGCTTGTTTAAGACAAATATTCTGTCTTAAATCAATTTCCATTAAAACAAAATCATTTTGCTGAATCAAACTAAAATTTTTCTGAAGTCAAATTTCTAACTAGCTCAACTTAAATGTACTGTGTGGGGAACTTTCTCCCCATTATTGTAGGTTCCCCCTCAAAAAGCTTATCTCAGGGCTGGATGGATGCTGCTCTTATCCTCAGACAGGCAGTCAGAGGCTCTCTGCTATGCAGATTTTCAAAGAAAGAGCAATCACCACACCACTGAGGTCTTTAAATCCTTCGTATTTACAGATTTAGAGCAAGTAAATCCTTTCTATTTATTTTCTTTAATGAGAAGCATACATTGCAGGTTGTCAGTGGTTTGTGTGAACAAATCTCAAATGAAGGTGCAGCTGTTCCAGACCTTTAATATTAATGCTGCCTTCTTTCCCTTTTCCTGTTTGCATTTCTAGTTCATGATTTCAGAATATTTTGCTGGGGACCAGGGGGGAGAAGGAGTGTTTGGATAGTTATTAAAGTAAGCTGTGTTTCCCATGGATTTATGACATACAAAATGTCATAAACTGTAATGAAGAGAGTTAGAAGCAGGGGCTGGTATCTGTGTATTCCTCACTGAGTGTGTACTGAGTGTAAGACTCAGCTGAACATTTACATCCTTTTTCCAGCTGTGCTGCTGCAAGATGTTATTCTGTTTGCAGGGGTAAATACTGCTCCATTTTGTTATGTGTATCACTCCTTCCATAGGTAGTAGGATTTGGCATCTGCCTCAAATGAACCTTTCCATAATAAACAGCTCTTTGAAAAAATAGAATGAAATATACAGCAGGCTTCTTGAAACAGCTACATTAAATCTATACCTGGAAATCAGTAGATATGCCCTTCTTTACTCTCTCTCTTCTGTGTGAAAGTGTTTTTGCCCTCTCTTCTTTTGAAATCTCTACATCAGAAGAAGAAATGATAGAGCAGTCGGTTTGTTTCATCAGTTTTTCATTCAGTTCACTTAACCCTGGAAAGGCAAGCTGGCGGTGGTTACTATTCTGGTGTTAATTCAAAAAACAATTCAACTTGAGGGCCAACTAAAGTGGGAGGGAGTTCTGCCTAAGTGAGGATTGGAGGATTGCACCAAACGCGTTTAAAGTTTGCTTAATTTCATTAAAGAAGCAACTGAGACATTTTCAATGTCTTAAATCCATAACTTAGTGGGTCCTTTCTTGAAATAAGGCTTGGAGTTGTAAAAAGATTTGAACTTTGTTTAAACATTTGCATTTAAAAAAGGCTTGTTCAGACATTTTCAGGAGCATCCCTATGTAAATTACAACTGTTTTGGTACAAGCGTGTACTTGAAACAGACAAATAGAAGGAAAAATAGCAACAGACCGAGAGGAGGAAACTACAAGCCATTTTCTTTTGTGTAAAATGGGGAATTCTTTTTAAAATGACATCGACAAGAGCTGAGCAAGATCAGATAGTTTCTAGGTAATCATATAGCTAAAAAGTTCAGGTTTGTTTTTTACGAATAAACTATATAATTGCCAGAGCAACCAAAGCAACATATGGTATATAGCTACTACCTCTGAGCTACTGGATAGTTTCATTAGAGATACCCATTCCTACCGAGATAAGGGTCTGGTATTGTCACCTAACATTCATTTTGATTGGATTCCCAGTCTGCAGAAACACAGCAGTTTCACTGTTGCACTGTTTTTTAAGTCAGATTTGTTGTCTATAAGTGCAGTCTTTCCCCTTTGTTTTCATAAAATTCATGGAGTCAAATGAAATTTAACTGACAAGTTTAAAGAGGAGGTGAAATATGTATGGAATGGCTGATGTGCCTTAAAAGTAATTTCTTTGCTATCAAATTATTCTGTTATCGTCGTATAATGCTTCTGTTTTTGTTTTGCATTTCAAAATGCCTAAAAAGGGATTGATGCAGATACTGAACATCTATGTATAGCAGTATATTAAAACCAGGACATTCTCTGTGGTTTTAATTTCTCTGTTACTCACCTGTTTCCATGTCTGGAGGATTTTATTTCTCCTCAGCTAGGTGAAAAGTAATATTCATCAATAAGGATGCGCAGTATACACCCCTTTTAAGTGCATTTCCCTCTAAATTAGTGAATACAGAGGATTCTATAAATATTGTTTTTAATGTAACTACTGAATATGCTTCAAGGAAGTAAAACGGGGCTGATTTATTTTTTTAATTAGTGTTCTGTTATTACTTGTAATAGCTGAAGACTGGAATTTGTAACGTTGTGTGTTGTTAACATTTCATAACAATTTATCAGCTCTGCAGCTTGCACTGTCGTACTTCCACTCTAAGTTGTCTCATGGCACACCGAGGAAAAATGCAGCCAATGAAGCTTTTGCATAAGAAAAAGGGAGAAGATATGTTTCAAATGTATTCATTTGTATCTTTGATTACATCTGATGAGCTGGTGGAAACACTTTTTCTCTACTATTGTGGAAGAAAAAATTGTTACTATAAAGCCATATTGATTTTAACAAGCATCTGATCTTTAACTGTTCATTTGTGTATTTCACCATGAAGAATATTTTCTGTCAGTCTGAAGTGAGAAGCTAATGCTTCATTTTCAGAACCAATTTTCTGAACAGTACCATTATTGGTTTGTTATTGAAATATCAAACAATACAACTTAGCTAGGATGAGAACTCAGAGCTGCTATCATTCAGCTCCTCTGTGGGAGTTTTGTATGAGTAAGACCCACAGGATCAGCCTCTTCAAGACTTGAGGCAGATGGAGGGTATCTTATATACAGGAGATGTGACAGGATCACAGCTTTAAAGCATTGTCTAAAGTAAGAATCAGTTCCTTGTTGTTCTGTGTGATCACTTTATAAAGAAATCCTGTTGCTCCAAGAGCACTGACAATTTCTGGGAAGTAAAACAGGTGAAAGACTGTACCACAACAGCTTTGTGCGCACTGAGCTGCATCATCTTTTGTGAGTAATCCCAGAAAACTTCATTAGAGTTTTCATGAGAATGAGGGAGCTACTCAGTGTGGGCAAGGATGTTGCCTTTTTTCAGTAAATGTGCCCATGGAATGTAAGTAAACATTTGTAAATGCATAGCTAACTGAAAGCAGTCCTCCTGGCTTCACTTTGTTCAAACCTATAGAATGTGTAGTGTGGGTCAGGGTGTTTGTCAAACCCATAGAAGGTGTTAGTCAAGGGATTTTTGACTACATCAGGGCAGCAAAGCTTATTGTATTTTCAGAATAAGTTATATAAAGAATATTGTCTCATTGCATCTGTTTTTCAGAGAAGAAAACTGTTGGTCTCTCCCTCACTCCCTGGAAGTTGATATTGGCTCAAACAGCACCTGAGATACTGAAGAATTTTGTAGGACACGTCAGTAATAGCATACATTTCATGAGAATGCTCTAACTTTAACCTATGACTACAGTCAAGAAGGAAGGAATAGCTACGATTTGTGCAAACTGAAAGCCAGATGCTATTTGTGGCTTTATTTTCATGATCACTCATGAAGTTGGTGAGGAGCAGGCAGCCAGAAGCTTCAGATGAAACACTCTAGACTTAGAGGGAACACAGTGTGTGAAGAAATGAATACCCAGAGCACCAGATGAATTAATATTTACCCTCTTTGCACCTTAGACAAGAACATTGGAGGTTTATTCCTTGCATGTTACCCAATGTTAAATTGCCTTCCAGATCTATGGATCAAGCAGATTGTACAGAAGATGCTGTGGGAGGAGGTAGGGTTAGGGAATTGCTCGCATCAGTGTTCAACACCTAGCATAAGTTAGTCCTTTGTCCTTGCAACTGAACCAAAATACAACTTGTCACTTTGACTCCTAAGGCCATGTAGCATCAATAATTCTACACTGAATTCAGTTTACTTTTCACAGAAAACACTGTTTTTTACAATCTACCCTACGCATCTCTGCTCTGAGGCCACTTAAAGCATGGAAGGAAGGGACAGTGAGCATTTTGAAGAGTTGTGAGTGTGTTGTGAAATTTCCCTGGGTCATATTCTGATAATTGAGCTGGCTTAAATTCT